ACCAGTCCTACAGAAATACATTTTTCTTTGTCTTTCTATGTTAATTGGAGTGCTTGTAGTTATCATACATATCTGGAGTCATCCTTGGTTTATTCACACAAAGAAATGCCTACAGGTAAGAGATTATTATAGCTCAGAGAGGTCAGATAAATGGCTACAAATTCTATCCCATATTATTTAAGGTCAAGTATGTTAATCGTAACTTGACTTCTTAAAATCCATCTATACCTGACTTGTTTTTGTACTTTTTTTTTACTGCCTTTTATTTGTACATTAGTTTAAACAAACTGTTTCTATCTTAGTGCCAAGACAATTGAATGTGTGCGTATTTTCCCTCACAGAGGACAGCAGGTGCCCACCAGTCATGAAAACACAGAAGTGTACACGGTAAAATGTTTCACCTAGTGCACGTTTGTCTGCTGTTAATTTAGTTTTAAAAGTATTTTGTAATGACGTGTTTTCTTTTGCAGCGTGCAGAATACACTGAGCCGTCTGTCTTCGTGCCAACAGAAAGTGAGCTTCTTTTCATTTCTAAAGTCAACACATGTACCACTTATTTCAGTGTTTGAATAAAAATCCAAATTTAGGGATTTTTAATAAGTAATTGAAATTGAAGAATTTGTATTTGTAATCTTGTTATGTAACATCTACCTCTATAAGATGCAGGCTTTTCTTGTCCATATCTGTGTTGCTTCACTTTACATTTCACTCATCTGTAGCTGTTTGAGGAAATAGTTGTTTTTTACAGTTTGTTTTACGGTTCATGTTGAATGTTTAAAACCGGACAAATAAAGGTTGGTTTTATCATGTGTGCATGTGCTGCTCCACTAATGTGACGTGACAATAAAAGTGACTTGATTTGATTCTGTAACAAAAATTAAAATGATCTTTTTAATATCACACAGTGAAATAGTGATTTTGCTTAATCTATAAACTACAATCTACAAACTGTAGTGGCTTTATAACCAAAATATTCTCAGAGTTTAGGGCAGAAAGCTGTTTGCTGTGACTTGTTGGGGAGTGAGGGGAAAGGGAAAGGAAAGAAAAGCTACACCATAGAAAGACAGGACAGAACCGACGGTGGAAGAAAGAAGATAAAAATGTACTGACATGCTGCAGGGGTGAGCAAGAACGCCCACAGTAGTCTGAGCCTATAGCAGCATTACTAAAAGATCACATCGTCCCGGCCCAAGTATAAGCTTCATGAAAAAGGAAAGTCTTGAGACTAGTCCTAAAAATAGAGTATATGTAATTTGCCTGTAGACTCAAAGCAGCCCTGCAGTGCCTCCAGTTCCTCTTCTGTCCACTGTGGATACACATTAGACTCACATTAGACTAGATTATGGTAATGCCTGTTAAGAAGAAGGGGATTCCTGTATGTGTTAGTATGTACATACAGCAGGCCTGGTAAGTGATATACTTTGTGCAAAAACTTTGCATCTGTTCAGTGAGATGTGGTTACGATCACCAGTTATCGTAAAAACAGCGGATGCTGGGTTAGCAGGCGGTCTACAGTCTACAGTGATGTCACATTGTACCTCTGCACCACCTGATGCTTGAATGTAAACAGAAACAACAATAGCAGATGAGAATTCACTAAAATCAGTTTGTTAAAAAGACAATTTCATACTATCACTGTAAACCTTTAACAAAGTACGGTTTCTTAAATTGGGAAAACATGATCACATTTGGAGTTACTGTACTTGTATATAAAATTCTTCATGGCCTGGCCCCACCTCCTCTTGATGAGTTCATGAAACAAAATCAAAGTTCATCTGTATCTGCCAGAGCACTTTCCAAAGGTAGTCGTAAAACCGCTCCAAACTAAAGCTGATGATTTTTAGGGTCACATCCCGTTTTCCACCGGCAGTGATTACAGAGGAATAAACACAGTGGCTTTCTTCTTTTGGACTTGAACCCCTTATTAAAAACTTTGTTGACATCCACCATGTATATCTGTCATATTTACAAGTTACATTTACACTTTCCCACTGGAAGAAGATGTAAGCTGGACTGGCCTTGCCATCCCCAACAAAAGCTCTTTTCTCACATCTCAAGTCCAGTTTTTTTCCGGTCTTTAAGTCTGATGTCATTAGCCATGTCTGGGCCTAAAGTCCACTGCAGGTCCCAAAGTCAAACAATCACTGCAGCATCACTGAGAGTTGAAAACTGTCTAAATTCTCATCTTTAATAAAATGATCAGTGTGGCTGCTTTACCAGGTGTAACAAGTTTAACATCAGGCATCCATGTTTCTGCAGCTATGGGGCATATATGGTATCACTCTTGGCTGGAAGCAGTGCTTAAACAATGGAAAAAACACAAACTTTGTCCAAAAACCTCTCATGTTTAAGCTGTTTTCCACTTTTTCTTTGGTCATTTTAGCCTTTTTGGCCAGGGTGAAGGGAGTATCTGCCATCAAACAAGAAGACAGCCGCATGTAGCTATGATGATGTTTGCTAGTTCACCTTACATGCATTAATGTAATAACGTGGTTAGCCTACTCAACGTAAATTACACACGAACAACATTAAGCTACTCACGCAGAGAAGAACGGCTGCTGCTGCATCATCATCCTCATCATTTCTGCTACACTGGCAGGGCTAGGGGCCAGGACTCTCCTCTTCGGGTTTTTGGGGGATGTTGCTAACTCCGGGTCTGATAACAGGCACCACACCCGCAGTAGATGTGCTCGGTGTGAGGTCTCGCAGCAAGCTATCAAATACGGCGCATTTCTCGGCTTTTAAAAAAACGCTATGCGTCGCCAGGTGTTTCATCAGATTCGAGGTGTTACCTCCTTTGACAGTATCACAGTATCAGCTTAAAGCACTTGTTGCTGCTGAGTTTGCATCTTTTGCTGTGAAGTACAGCCAGACTTTGACCGCTTTTGGGCATTTTTAATCTGTAGCTCTGCTCTAAAAGAACGTACGTACCTGGGCCCGCCTACTACGCTCACAAAGGTAAAATGATTGGCTAGAATCTGAAGTGTGTGACATCTCAGGGAAAAAAAGCACCAAAATGTGCGCTGCTTTTCGGTCTGGTTACTACCATTTATGTCAGAACCGGTGCCATAATGTTACCGGATACTGGTACCCATCCCTATTAAACGGTGTGCAGCAGTTTCTCTCAGCAGTAGCATTTTGATGTGATAAGTATGGCGTGGAAGTCTTATGCTTCATTGCATTATTTGCCTGGTTTTCCTTTACCATAAACTCAGATACATTTAATCTGCCCATACAGGGTATCAGACAGAAACTTCTCTGTAGCTTGCACTTGGTCATTCTTATTTTTTGCACTGGAATAATCATGAGTGAATGATAATGCAAACCCATCTCTGGTCCTGCTAGGTCGGTGTGTGGCCCTGTGTGCACACCTCACATTGTAGGGCAGGTTTGTTTGTTACCTTTGATTGTCATATCATCAACAACATTTTCCTATTTTTGAATGTCATCATAATGATAGTGCCCTAGTATTACACGCTGTGTCTGCTTAACATATCAACCCTTACACTGGTCACTCGCTGTATGCAGGTAGTGCTGTCTGTTGTATTCATAGATGTGGAACTTTGTACCGTCTCTGTGCTGCATGGCGTCTTTCTCTTTGTTGAAAGTCACATCACCCAACTGGGAAGCAGCTGCTTTCACAGAAAAGATGTCCTGTAACTATAAGGGGATGTACAGTGCGTGTTCACTGCACTCTAAGACTAAACTGCATTTTGTACAATGAGCCAACTTCACGCAGTGTGTCCTCAGCCCAGTATCACGACAAAACGTGTAATAGACACGCCAGCCCGCTGTGTCGTATCACACTTTGGAGAGGCAGAAGTTGCAATAAGTTGTAGTGAGCTGCAGTACCAGCAGAGGCTGATACTGTATTTGAAGCCAACATTAAAACAATCATAGGAAAGTGTTTGAGACATTATTACACATTTACATGTAAACACATATTTGCTGCGTACCATCATTGCTTCTGCAATGTGCTTAATCATACCTACCTTGCTGACTACCGACTTCTTGGCTTTGAATATACTGTCTCCCTCTGCTGGTAATGCCACCTCTGCAGCATGCATGCCCATTTCAGGTTTTGAAGAGTCAAAGCATAAAATAAACATCCATATCTTATTACTCCACATGATATCGGTTTGGTGTCTCAGTCTGGAAACTTAATATTTTGGAGCTTGGCATAATGATATGTAAACTTGCCCCCGTGTCTGTGATCAGACTCTTTTTCTGAGTGGAGCTTTGTATCCTTGTCACTTATCTGGACCTGGAAGCCACAAGTGACATTGAGACTGAGGAGGTCAGGGACTGCTCTGGCTTGGAGCCTCTGGTATGAGGACCATGAGATGTACAAATGATAAAGTATTTAATAAGTGATTAAGAGACATTGTTTTAACATCTATTTGTAATTTTTAAAAGGATAAAGTCAATCAAGAGGATGCATACACAATCCTTCATCAACCGTTCGTCTGTCTTTAGTGTGTTTTTGCAGAGTTGATTTGAATCTCTATACTGGTCCTTAACATATTTCAAAGTTCATACATGTAAATTTACAACAAGCCATGTGTCAGATAAGGATGTTTAATAATTTATGTTATAATGAATACAATGCTCACTTAGTATACGAGGTGTAACTACAGAGGAATCTGTAAATAAATGAAAAAAGGGAATTTGCCTTCCGGCTGAAGCAAACGTGTTTCCATCTTATCTCTCGGTGGATTTTGGAATTGCGCAACACTGAAACCTTCTAGATACTGAAACTCCAGCTAGTAAATCACACATCAGTCAACAGTCAAGATAACATGATTAGGAAACTCAGATACTTCTAGGTAATGGGACAGTGATGTCTATTTGTTCAAACATGAGATCCTTTCATCTGTCTTTCATGCATCTTCAAGTAGATTACTGACGCAGTATGACTTGAAAGGCACATGCTCGCAGATGCAAAATCTCAAAAGCTTTTGTGTTCATTTCTATCAGACATCACTATCAGAGTGATCATAAAGTCCTTTAAATTAACATGTATACGAGTGTTGCTATTTGTTTTCCTCAGCCAGAATATATTTTCTGTGTTTATGCGCCGGCTCTCTCTTCCAGCGCTCACATGAAAACAGAAGCGTCGTCAGCACTTCCTTCCTCCACACCAACACAGACCTCAGTGAAGGCTGAGAATCCGAGGCTTGGGTGCATAAACCCTTTGCCCTACAGTGATCTACAGTGTCAACTGTCAGCAGCAGTTGCACTGTTATTTAGATGTTTTGACCAGTATGGATAAATGGAGACTCGGGTTTGCTCTGCTTCTGCTCCTCACTTCCTGTATGGACAACAAAGGTTTGCAAAACAGTTACTTTTATTTATGTAGGATCGCTTATGCAGCGCATTGTTGTTGTTGTTTCACAGTTAATCTATGTTAGGTTTTATTACCTGTATTTACCAGTAAATGTTGGTAATGTGCAAGTGGTAACTTAGCAACTGTATATCACACAGAACTGACTTCCAGTTTTACACATTTCAGCTGGTACGGAGATTCTTATGAAAATCATTGACAAACAACCAGATGTTACTCGAATATGCAGCAACGAAACGCTGAACGTGATCATGCTGATAGTGTGTAAGATCAGCACACAGAGGAGCAGAGGAGAAGAGTGCAGGCTGCTGTATAAACATGGACACAACTTTGAGCATGGATGTGACTCCAGGTTCACACTGATGAAAGAAAATCAGACTGTGTTTCTCCACCTGACAAATGTAACAGCAGAGGACGGCGGGAGCTACACCTGTGAGTGTGTACAGACTGGAGGAACATATAAGCTCCAGCTCATGTAACTGTGGAAGGTAAAGTGTGGATTTAATACCTTTTATAACCGAGCCTCACTGTATTACTGTGGTTATTGATAACTGGTATCATATCAATCAACAAAGGTTTGTATGAAGCTGGGGTCACCTCACGACTGTCCACATATCTTTAAAAAAAAGCAATTAAATCAACAAAATCTGCTGTTAAACAGTATAAACAATAAAATCAAAAATCACTTAATTTCAAGAACATATTATATGACACTATAGCAACAGAGGTTAATATCATGATGCTGCTTTATAATTAACTCATTAACTCACTGGTGATTTTCTCATTTCTTTTTCTTTTCTAGGCACTGAAAGCCATGAAGTCACCACCAGTCCTACAGAAATACATTTTAAATGGTCTTTCTATGTTTTAATTGGAGTGCTTGTAGTCTTAATCATATCTGGAGTCATCCTTGGATTTATATACGTAACAAAATGCAGCAGGTAAGAGATTATTATATTATTATATTATAATGTCTGTGAAGGTTCTCAGTCAGTTCTCAGTATTATAACACGGTTAGGGAGTATAACCATATTATGATCATATTTACTGAGGCATTCACAACATCTCATGCAAACTCTGTCACATATTATTTAATGTAACATTTATCTTACGCTGACGCTCATCTTATGGTCGATGTGGCTTTATTTTTTTATTGTCCTGCACAAGCTCTTTATTTAAAATCCACATATGTAAAATAAATATTTTCATCTCGGTTCTAAGAAAATGCAGAATTTTTGAAAAACATTTTTTGGTAAATTGTTTTCCCAGCAGAAGACGACAGCTGCCAATAACCAGTCCTGAAATAATAACTGATCCTGGAAACACAGAAGCGTACATGGTAAAATGTTGCACTTACTGCATTTTTTAACTGCTTTTCATTGGTAGTCAAAGCAAAGAGTGGCTATTTTAAAGACTCTAAAATATAAAACATTTTTTGAGTTATTGAGTAAATTGACAGAGTGAGCATCATATTTGATTTCTCGAGTTCATTTAACACAATCCAGTCACTGTTTCTGAGACAGAAACTACAGAAAATGTCAGGGAACTAGTCTGTTATCTCACAGATTACTGATTACCTGACAGAAAGGCCACAGCCTATAAGACTAGACAGCATTCAGGCTCCACAGGGGCTGTGCTGTCGCCACTCCTGCTCAGCGTGTGCACCTCACACTTTCGATGTATTAATGGTGGGCAGGTGGAGGAGTACAAAGCACTAGTGTATGATTTTGCGTTGTGTTCTCAGAGGAATCATCTGGCCTGAATGTGAAAAAGACCCATTAGTTGGTGATCGAAGACGATGATAGATGGCTGGCATCTATAATAGGACAGGATGTTGATTTGGTGGTGGAGTGCAAGCACCGCTGACAGCAGGCTGAACTAGAAGAACAACACAGCGGCAGTAGACAAGAAGAGTATGAGCAGTCTGCTTACTAATGAATTGGAGACTTTTTAGCATATACAGTAAAACTGGATAAGCGCACTTGCTAGATGCCTAAATGTAAAGTGCCATTCATAATGATTTAACACTGCATGACCGTGATGTTATAGCGAATTGTTGAAGACGGGACAAAATGTCTGCACATTAAACTTCAGGTGGTTTGGGCCCATCAAGCGTTTGTGCTCAGGTGTCTGTAAGTTGATGGTTGGGGCATGTTTAAAGCCTAATCAGGGCTGAACAGTGAAAAAGAGTTATGTGTGTTTTAAGGACAGGAGCTTGACACAGGAAGACTGAAGATGGTCAAGGTGACGACTCATTAATTACTGGGGAAACACTCAGCTTGAATCAATCATAAACATCACTCTTAAACAAAACATGAATATTTGTTTAAGAGTGAAACATCAGCGTTCCTCCAGATGATGTCTGCGTGAGCCTCTTCTTAATAAAACCTTTAAAATATTCAGATTAGTAACAGAAGGTCACTAATGCTTTGCAGGTAGTAGACAAACTTTGTGGTATGAAAAAGATCAACATTTTATTTTTGTTAAAGACAAAACTTTCTTTGTAAAACAGTCAAACTGTACTTTGAATGTTTGAAATATTCAACATGATCATGTAAAACATTAAAACAAAATTTACTCAAACATCTACAGGTGAGTGAAACAGGTAGCAAAGTAACAGCAGTGGCAGCAAGCCTGCCTCCGTTTTTATCCACCAGAAAACCATTCATCATGTTATACTAAAAATAAATCTCTTTAAATGCAATACCTTAACAACAACAACAACATAATAATAATAATAATATAATAACAACAATAATAACGTTCCCTAATCATGTCTCTTCAAACATTTACATAAATAGTAAGCGTGTTGATTTTAGAAGTTGTTGTAATTAAAGGCCATTCTTCGTTTGCATGGAGACACTGTGCGGCTCGGTATTCTGCTTCCTGCAAAAGAAAAGATGAAAAAATACATTTTTGAAGTAAAACGAACAGCAGAGAAAAGTTCGGCAAGTGCAACATTTTACCGTGTACAGTTTCCATGTGTCGTTTCCACGACTGATTATTAGTGCCGGATGTTTTCTGTTGTCAAACAACACAATTAAAAAAGAAAAGGTGGTTATAAATTTGCTATTTCATACTATTTATACAGCCGTTAACTATTTGAGCTATAAAAATCTCTTACCTGTTGTATTTCTTGCTGTAGACCAGTCCAAGAATAACTCCAGATGTGATGATGAACACAGCTGATCCAGCTGCAGCATAGAAGAAAGTTACTTCTGCAGAACTGTTTGTGGTGGCATTGACTCCGTCTACATTATTTAAAAACTCTGAAAAGTAAAACAGGTTCTAATCAATTATAAGGGAACATTAGGATGCTACGCATTCTTGCCTGTCATGTAATATTAACTTGTATTAAGTGTGTTGTCATAGATTTAAATTCTGAACATTGTTTTATAATTGGTTTGGTCAGATTAACTGCTTCACATTTTTCCTTAAATAAAGCTTTTTGATTTCTTTGACAATTACAGCAGACGTGTCAGTGATAATTATTATTACAATGTTACCACTGCAGAAAATTAACAGAGAAATACATAAAGTGTAAATCGTAAAAGTTATTAAACTAATCCACAGTTTACCTTCCACAGTTACACTGAGATGAAGCTTTTTTGATCCTCCAGTCCTGTACACACTCACAGGTGTAGTTCCCGCCGTCCTCTGCTGTTAAATGTGTCAGGTGGAGAAACACAGTCTGATTTTCTGTCATCAGTGTGAACCTGGAGTCACATTCATGCTCAAAGTCGTGTCCATGTCGATACATCAGACTACAGTTTTCTCCTCTGCTCCTCTCTGTTTGAATCTTACACACTATCAGCAGGATAACTTGTGTTGTTTCATTGGTGCACAGTGGAGTGACATCTGCTTCTTTACTAATGGTTTTCACACGGCGCTCCTGGACAGCTGCAGTACAAAAAAATAAAAGTCAGTTCAGTATGAATTACAGCTGCTAAGTTAGCACTGCCTGTATTAAAAGAAATAATAAATAATAAATAAAACATTTATTGGTAAAGGAAATATTCTCCCTCTAAAAAACAACATATATTAACCGTTCAACATCAAAACGCTCTACATAAGCGATCCTTTAGAAATAAAAGTAACTCGTGCACGATACCTTTTCTGCCTGTACAGAACGGCAGCAGAAGCAGAGCAAACCACAGTTTCCATCTACCCATACTGGTCAATACATCTAAACAACTCTTTAACTGCTGCTGGTTGTGTACACTGTACTCTACTGTACTGCAGGGTGGAAGTCAGATACACCCCTTTGCATTTATCTGCAGCTACCCAAGTTCAGAGGACTGAGCTGCTGTTAAAGCAGGAAGTACTTTTATGGGTTCAAACGTAGCCTCACCCATTATTGTTGGTTTAAAATTATAATTCATGAAGCAAAAACATTGAAGGAAAACCAAACGCCAAGAAATGTAAATATTACATGTAACTGATGTGTTACCAAATAACACTCACATTACAGCTGTCAGCCAAATCCACTCAAACCCTGCAGTCCTCTAGTGGTTCCACACTCCCACTTAACATCTAGAAGTGACACACCTTTCTCCATCTCTGGAACAGTCATCCCTCTTTTATAAAGTTTTCCTTTTTTTAAATTCAATTTGAAGATCTACCTATTTTCAAGTGTCTTTCAGGTCACTTTAAAACCCACCCCAGCGGGGCACATCTTGATCTTTGTAAAACATTTCAAAGCAACAACAGAGGATTAATGCGCACGCATGTTAAACCCGACACATGCACAGCCTCTGGTAGTTTGTGGTGCTGTACAATCCTCTGGTCTGTGAGATGCAGCTGTGTGGATGAGGTGATTGATTTGGGATTAAAAATACTTTATTAGAAATTCTGTATTTATTAAATGTGATTTTAATCAAACAAACAGACATGAAGCAATATAATAATATAGATTTGTCTGAGATTCACAGTTGTGGAGTTGATGGTTTCACACAGAATTACATAAAATGCAACAACAAAACAACAGAACAAAAAAGGCCTCTAAGCACATTTTCTGCCCTCTGATTGACATGTTAGTCTACAGGACCCATTTTACTTTACAGATATTATAAACAGATATTATCTGCACCTTGTATACTAAATAGATATTGAATATTTCCAACTTAGTACTTGACAGTTTCATAGATTGCATAATCAACATGTAACTCTTTTCCTTCTATTCCCTGAGTATTAATGTACATCACTGTGACATCACAGGTAGCTGGACTGGAGTTAGCGTCATGCTGGGGGCGACCTGACGAGATAGTTTGGTAGACATCAGTGGTCGGGTGTTGAAGGCTCATGTAGGGGTCCACTTCATCCTAAACAACATTTCGGATTTAAACATATTTAATATTTATTATAATATTTAATTGCAGTGCTGTTTGAAAATAGACACGCTGTCACATGACCCTAAACATTTTGAGAAGTGTGAAACAGAACTACGTCAAACTCACCAAAGTCTGCAGAGTTTCAGATCTGGTTAAGTTAGATGGTCCTGGTTGGTTTTCTCTGTTAGAATAAAAACATCAGAGTTTACAGGGTGAACATTAAATACCTCCAACCTGCTGATGTGGGCATCTCTTCATGCTGCTTTCAAAGAAGCTAAAAAAATCTGACATTTTCAAATCATGAAGTGTTATTTTACAAGTTTCACCTGGGAGGATTTCTCCTCAGGGTGACACAGCACGTTATCCCAACCACAATGATGAGCGTAGCAACAGCAGAGATGATGACGACTGTTGCCATGAACTTCATGCCAGAAAACGTGTCGTCCTCTACTGAACATTGACGCAAAATAAATAAATCAGAGACGATCAACATTATCTTGAAAAGCATAAAAAAGACCAAACAAGCTTACATTCCACTGTGATATTAAGACTTAAAACCTGAGTTTCTCTTTCATATGAGCATTCGCAGGTGTAGTTGCCACTGTCTGCTGCTGTTAAACTGGTCAGGTGGAGAAACACAGTGTGATTCACGTCTATCAGCGTGAACCTGGAGTCACAGCCGCACTTTAGTGGCTGCTGTAGTCTGTATAGCTGGCAGCAGGTTTCCCCTGTGTGTCTCTCTGTGCTGATCCAACATTTCACTAAAACCAAAGTCAGGTTCTGACTGGTGCACACTGGAGTGATGTCTGGCCCTTTTCCAGTGGTTTTCACAAGAGTCACTGAGTGAAAAGGACAAAATTAACATTTTACCAACATCAGTACAAAGAGTAGAGCTTTCTATCGTAAACTAGGTTTAGTGCCGTACCTCTGCTGTCAGCGCACACACACAGCGGCAGAAGAATGAGCCATCCACGTCTCCATCCGTCCATAGAGCCAAGAGATTAAACTCAAGTCTACCTGCTACGTTCTTTTAATACTCTGTGTTAAGGCACAGTAACCTGTACGTGACCTGATGTGACGTGGATTGAAACAGAAGTGAACCTGACTGCTTCTACTTTCCTGTTAAAATACATCAGTTCCTATAAGTCTCATATACAGTGATGTGAGTTAAAAGGCTTTCACAGCACTCTACACAGACCTGTGAAAAAAATGAACACACTCTTGCTTTCTCCGTGGGACAGGTTAGCAGTCACGTACTGCTGATCAAATGCACTCTAACAAATAAAGTGTGAGCACTTATATACAAACAGATGCTTTGACACTTTTCAGGTCGGGATCACTCAGGTTTGTGCTGATACTCTGCCACAATCCTCTCAAGAAATTCACCTCAAGTTCAGATCGTGCGAAAAATGTAAAAACTCGGTTAGCATGTTAAATATTAAAGTTCACGACAGCACAGTTAGAAAAAGACTGAACAAGTACGGCTTGTTTGGAAAGCTTGCCAGGAGAAAAGAAGATGGCAGTGCACCCGCAACTTTGGTAGCAACGTTGCAAAGCCAACCAGCACAAACACCTCACACCAACTGTCAAGCACGGTGTGGGAGGAGATGTTTTGCACTTGTTTTGCAGCCACAGGACCGTGGCACTCTGAATCGACCGTGAACCCTTCTGTAGCAAAGTATTCTACAGTCAAATGTGAGGCTGTCTGTACAACAGTTAAAGCTTGGCCCTAACTGGGTCATGCAACAGGAAAATAATCCCAAGCACACCACAAATCGAGACGTAAGCTCAACTTAAATGCAGCGGTAGGACCTTAAGGCCTAAAAGAAAGTCCCCAAACATCAATGAACTTAAGCAACACTGTAAAAATATAAAAATGATTTAAACGACCGATACAGAAAACGGTTACTTAGTTATTTCAGCTAGAAGTGTTTCTACAAACTATTTGATGGGGGTGCGTAGGAGTGCAGAGGAGTCCTGAGAAACTCTCTTTTTCACAAAGGCTGATGGGTAAACTTCAACTTCTCAGTTCTCACTTTCAGGTGCATGAATGCAAAAATGTTTCATGTCGGCTCTTATTTAAGTTTCATATAAGACGTCTGTGGTCAATTTAGTTTGTGGTCGACGTTTGGTGATTTTGTTTTTTTGTAAACACGTGCATATGTGTGGGAGTAACATCTGACACTGGCCACAACAACACAACTCACACGCAGCAGTGCAAACAGTTAAAAACAGCTGCTTTTAATTTGAATGAATATAAAACCCTAAAAGCAGATCCCATATCTTATTGCATTGAAATTGAGGGCCTAGAGGCACATAGCAAAGGAAATAATGATTTAATGATATAAAGCTTGCTCTGTGGTTTTCTTCCATTGTTTAGTTTAACAAAAAACTAGCTGAAGATATGAACACATCAGTAACAAAAAGAAAAAAACTGAAAAGAAATCGTTGTTTCTTAAAAAGGTATATTCTGATATATGTCAAAACTTTGATGTCTCTTTCTTTTCTCTATTTCCTGTTTCAGCTGGGCGGTCACCGTAGTGATGGCTGCATCTCTATCTGTCGCCTCCTCGCTGTTGTAAGCCTGACGTCCCACAGTCTGGTAGAACTCATCTGACTCCCAGTAAAGGCTTGTGTATGTAGCATCATAATCGATTTTACCCTGTAAAAACATCCAAATGTGTAAGGTTTTTGTGCTCATAAACAAGCTTTCCATATATATTTGGCAGCCAGTGACTCACTTTAAAAAACACAAGGTCACATAATAGTTCACACTATGAGCTTATGCACTCGGGCTGTGATCAGGAGACCTGTGCTGCTGCTGCTGAGGTTCGCCCTCTCTCTGTGGGCTTTGGCCAGCTTCATTGCAAGCAGATGTTACATGAGCAATAATGGCTGCTTCCCAACTTCCTTCTGCTTCTGCCAGATTAAAGCTAGCATAAAGGTGGGATTTGGGAAGTGATTGCAAAGAGTATCATCAGCTTAAATTCAAATTGAAGACTGTCACCTTTGACCTGCATGCAGGCGTGACCCCATCTGTGTTTGCTGAGCGAGTATCTCGGTGGCCTGAGCTGCAGGGAACACAGACTGCAGCTCAACCAACAAGAGCTTGCTTTATATTTATAATATATTAAGGTGACTATCAGATTTAACGTCTCCAAATCATTTTGGTCTAAAAGTTAAGCTTGATTTAGATTAAAACGAGTGTTTAGGGTCAGTGACTTGAATGGAAAACTGAGGTTTCTTTATATTTTGGTGCTTAAACCTTTGGACAGTTGTTGTTCTATTGTAATTACCGAGTGCTCGGTCTCTGTTCATTTTGCACTTGACTGTCCATTGATTTCCTCGCTGCGTCTCTTATGAGTTTTCCTCGGCCTCTTCATGCCCTGTTAGTTTCTGGAGTTTTGTACTTCTTGGTGATTCTTCCTTTTGTAGCATTTATAGGGACATTACCATCCGCCTCACAGTGAAGCTTGGCTTTTGTTCTGCTCCGTACTCGCGTTTGTGTCTGACTTTAAGCCAAATCGTGACATTTCGAGCATTTTAAAGGTAAATAAAGGTTTCCACATAATTAAGCTGGAAAAAATGTTTCATGTCCTGCTACAAGTGTTGTTGCGAAACCTGAATCATACTGAAAGTCTGAGCTGTTCGCTTTACCAAAGTCCCCCTGGTCTTTCTCTCTCACTACTGACCCTGAAAGCAAAGAAAAATCCCTTTGACTCTCAGTTCTCTGTCTCTAAGATGTGCATCCTTTAAGAGACATCCTTGTTTGTCTTAAGTGGGCTCCTCCAAAGCATTATGCTCTAAACACTGGCAGCATAACTGTCAGGCAGCGTTTTTGAGAGTGTCGAACATTTTTATTTGATCCTCTAAGCAACATTCGTGAGGTTTTATCGCTTAGTGCCAAGTGTAACTTTTTTTTTGTTACACCATCTCTCTGAATAATAAGTGCACTGCTGCAGTGACATGTGCACATGGTGAAGTGCCAGCTGCCAACTAACTGAGAGGATTTTCAAGTGGTTTCATTTCCCAACTTTTATTTTCTGACTTATACAGAATTTATGCATCTCTCCAAGTGTTTTATGTTGCATTGGATAAGAGGGTTAGCTAGATTTCTAAATGTATAGTTTGTAGGAATGCACACAATAAATTGGATGTTTTTACTGTGTTACAAGAACGCAGAACAACAGAATAAAGAACAAGAGGATTCACTTACTATTGATACAGGTGGCTCTTTCCTTGTAGGGTATCTGTGAACAAAAGTGACAGTTAGAGCCATGCTTCAGTGAAACAGATGAGGTAATCCTAAATCTATTACAGGTTCAGTTACATACAATTTGATTGAAATTAGTGTCTAATGTTCTCTCTAATCTTCACAATTAAATCATCTTTACAAACTAAAATTGTTTGATTACTGATTGTCCAGTTGTTTAAGTTACAGTTCTTTTCTCTGCGTGTTGTAAACACAAACTGCTTAAATTTAAAGTACAAGAAACAAATTTTCACCTGCAGCGATTTTGTCTCAGGATAAATCCGAGGACAACTCCGACTACAATGACAATTCCAGTACATATACAAATCACAGTGATAGACATCAGCTGCCTCACTGGAGAAGTGTGAGCTTCTAGAAAAAAATCACAAAAGAAAAAGTTAGAAAACGTAGAAAAACAGAGTAAAACCAGACTTTAGACATTACCTCCAGTTTTAATGTTAGGATCAGTACAAGAGCTAATGTCCCTCAATTAGTTTTCATTTTAGTCATGATTCAAAAGAATGAGTCTGTGATGCAGGTCCGATTTATTCAACAGCAGTCTGCGCACAACTCGAACAGCAGCACAGGAGGCAAACAGAAACAGGTATGAGAGAAAGAACAAAGCAAACACGCACCTTCAGCCGAGATAAGGAGATGGATAATATCTGTCCCATCGCTACGGGAACACTCACAGGTGGACTTCCCACTATCCTCAGCTGTTAAATTGATCATCTGGAGAAACACGACTCGGTTTTCTTTTACCAGCCTGAACCTGGAGTCGCACTCGTTCTCAAAGCCCCGTCCATGTTGATACTGCAGACGACAGCCTTTAGGCCTGTTCCCTTTTGTCTTTATCGTGCACACTATCCAAATGTAATCCACTCTAGACTTGGAACAAAGTGGAGTGACATCTTTTTGTTCCCCAATGGTTCTCATGATCGTCTCTGCAATTAAAGAAGATGTAATGAAGATCTCTTTGGCCTAATTGCGCCAACTGTCTCCAAAAAAGGGGTTAAAGGCTACTTTAAGAACAATAGGTCAGTGCTATAGTCTGCTGTTATTCTACAAGACTTTAAAACTGATGGGATGTGTGTAATCATACAGTACCTTCAGTGTCAAAACTCAAAGACAGAGGCAGAAACAGAGCAAACCACAAAGCCCTCTGGTCCATAGCTGCAGCAATGTCCAAACAAATCAAGACGTTATACCCAGAAGAAAACGAAACCTGCTGAATGCAATCCTTTGACACACTAATCATCAAACCACAAGAGAAAAAGTATCAAGTAGAAGTGGAGTCAAGGTAGAAGTGCCGAGACAGGGAAGCGCAACAAGCAACTGCTTCTAATTGTCAACTAACATTCAGCCAATGACTAAACTGGAGGGTCTTCATTTTAATCACAACATTAGTGCTAAAGCACATCGGCCACAGTGTTTATACCCCTCAGAGGCTTTCACATCACAGGTTTTAGATATAAGGATATAATAATGTATCATAATAACCCTTTACACCTTTAAAAAATATTTTTTAAGTCTCAGATGAACGCTAACAGCCACGTTTCGTCACAGCGGAAAGCTCTGCTGGTTTGTTTTGCCAGCCTTTTACATGGGATTCTTGATGTAATCCCAAAGGGATCTGTGCTTCCTCCTGGAACTTAACTGAGGTGCTTGTCAACCAAATGTGTAACCCACACGTGACCTATTACACCGTGTCATGATCTCTTTAACAGACACTCAACGCACCCTTACTGCCTCTGATTGTCAAAGATAGCAGCGAGATGCTGCTAATCATCAACTGATCATCAGCACGTGTGAGGGCCTCTATAAAAGGGGGCTTTGCTGGTCTGGAGCATTCAGGTGTGTTTTAATACATTATGTTCTCATGAGGTCTGTGACAAAAAGTGTCACATCTCAGACGCCACAGGCCTCAAGTATCATGTTAAACGTTAAAGTTTATGAAAGAAAAGACAGCGAGTATGGCTTGATTGGAAGTGTTTCCTTAAAACAAGCCCCTCTTTTCAAAGAGCAGAGCAGCTTGGGTTAACTTTGCAAACTTGCATCTCAGCAAACCACAAGACATCTGGAACAAAGATCAAAGTGGAGATGTTTGGTCATAATGCACAGCACCACGTTCGGCTAAAATTAAACGAGCATATCACCACAAACACCTCATATCAACTGTCAGCACGGTGGCGGGGGGGTGATGACTTGGGCTTGTTGCAGGCACACGACCTTACCTTGGGTACATTACCTTGGGTTGACCTTGAACTCTGCTGTGTGCCAAAGTATACTCGAGTCGAATGTGAGGCCACCTGTCTGACAGCTAAAGCCTCGCTCAACCTGAGTCATCTAACAGGACAATGATCCCAAGCACAACTCAGCAGCAAATCTACAACGGAAAGTAAAGAATGAGGTGTCGCAATGACCCAGTCCAACTCCAGACCTCTGATCTTGTATGAAAGCTGCATTAAAACATAGTTCCTCAGCTACAAGCAGACAGTTGAAAACTGAAACTGCGACAGAGAGACAGGTAAACAGACAGAAATGTAAAATTAGACACCAGACCAAACAAGCAAAGACACAGAGCGGCTGTTGCTCTTGTCTTCAGTATAGATCTGAAAGGTTGTCACTGCGGTAAATGTGCATGTGATGATATAGTTGAATGATATGGTCAAGTAGTGAACAAATGAAACTAGGTCAAAACATCACAGTAATGCATGTTAGCTGCTATTTCATTTCTGCTTTCAGCTACTATTAATAAACAGAATCATGTACAGGATTGTGTTAATGCAACGCTACATGTATTACAGAAAGAAGCACGTTAAAGTCAAAGTGGCTGTCTGGGACAGATGTTGCTCCTGAGCGAAGCATGCAGGCTTTAAATGATGAGCAAAGCACAAATAGGACGGAGACAGAAGCAGCGTTTAGGGTCAAACATTAGAAAACTCCCTCCATGATCATACAGACATGTGACTGTCCAGTGCTCTGACAGTATGGGAGGTAATAAATCTTTGAATGTTGTTTATTTTAAGGTTTCTACTGTCCGACTTTGGTTGTAACCTTAGTTTTCTGTGCTTAGCTAACAGGAGTGCTACCCAGTGTGCTCTTCTGCTGCTGTGGCCCAATGTGCTGTGCATTCAGAGATGCTCTTCTGCCTACTTTGATTGTAATGATTGGTCATTTGAGTGACTCCAGCCTTCAGCTTATAGCAGTCATGCTCCCCTGACCTGTGGTATCAGAAAGGCCTTTTTCCACCCAGAGAACTCCCACTCACCTGATATTTCCTCGCTCGCACTATTCTCTGTAGAGATCACTGTGTGGGAAAATCTCAGTAAATCAACAGTTTTTTAAAATACTCAGACCAACCAATCTGACACCAAAAATCATGCCAAGTTCAAAATCACTTAGATCGTCTTTCTTTACCATTTTGATGCTCAGTGTGGACTTCAGCAGGTCATCTAGATCGTGTCTACATGCCTAAATGTTATTTGCTGATTAGCTACTTGCATAAATGAGCAGCTGAACATGTACCTAATAAAAATAGAGCAGCATGGACTATAAGGCTCGCAGTGAATAATGGTCAGGTTACAACAGATGTTTTGATGGAGGCGTTTGTATCATAACAGCTGCACCATCAGCTGAAAGCAAACAAGTCATGAGCCTTTTTAACAGGATGCAACAGATAGCACCCCAGAGCGAGACCCCCTCCTACACAGACAGTGGCAATGATAGTCCATTGTTCCAAGATGCAAGATGCTTTAGCAAAGGCAAGGCTATGTGCACATAAGGAGGGGGCGGTAATACTCCAAAACATACGAAGCTTACAAGAACTTCATAGGAAGAAAGCAAAATAAGAACAAAACCGCAGCTTCAGGAGCCTCTCATAGTTTCAGGTGTGGGTTTTTGTGGCCTGCTCTTTGTGCCGTTTGCTCTTGTTTGTTAGTAATGCTGGTTAGATCGCTGTCTGATAATGGCTTTTCTTTTTCATCTGAGAAATGCAACCAAAAAAGAAAAAAGGGGGAAAGCAAAGCTCACAATCAAGTATAACAGATGCTGCCTGACCAGCTTCAGCCTTGTTCTATACATTGTTGTGGGTGACACATAAACAATTATCTCTGAGACCTGCCAGCAGAAGGAGAAGAAAAGGCAATCGCAGATATGATTACAAACACTACAGATATCGGAACATAAATTATGCATCAGTGGACACAATTAAGTTCTCATTAATTGTGTCGACTTTTGACACTTTGGGGATGAGGCAATGAAATTAATCCAGTTGTTGAATGATAAAATAATAATCCAAACTACTAATCCTCTTCTGTGCGATTCACGAGGTATTATCACTCAGTCAGCAGCATGGGGTGATATTTAAGGAAGCGTTGACAACATATTTGATGATATCCAGAACCACCGAAATAGAAAATGAAGTACTTATTATTCTTTTTGCTTGTTCTGTTAACACATCCATGTGAACAACACTGAAAAGACACATCTGTCTTTTTGCATTTCCTCTGCAAGCTTTGAAGCCTGAAGCCAATGCATGACCCACTTATACAGTCAGACATCTCAGCAGCACTCAAACACTCTCTTTGGCTTTTACACCCCCTTACTCAAATATGACAGCGTCCTCGCTTGTATAAGGTCACGTGTGGCATTTCTACAACTCTGCGATCAAATCTTCATTTCCAAATCATATTTAAGTTCATTCAAATTACTCCAAACCGGTTTTTAAATTTTAAATCAGAATCTTTTATTGTCATTAAGACAAAAGCACAACGAAATGATATCGTGATTCATTCAAATGCGAGGAAAGCAAATCTAACTATTGACAAAAATAGAAAATTAAACTCTTTCTAATAAATAAATAGATATGTGTATATACAGTGGCTCGCAAAAGTATTCGGCCCCCTTGAACTTTCCCACATTTTGTCACATTACAGCCAAAAACATGAATCAATGTTATTGAAATTCCAGGTGAAAGACCAACACAAAGTGGTGCACACGTGAGAAGTGGAGTGGCAAGATCTGAAAACTGCTGTTCACAAACGCTGCCCATCTAATCTGACTGAGCTGGAGCTGTTTCAAAGAAGAATGAGCAAAGATTTCAGTCTGTAGATGTGCAAAGCTGGTAGAGACAGACCCTAAAAGACTGGCAGCTGGAACTGCAGCAAAAGCTGGTTCTACAAAGTATTGACTCAGGGCTGAATAATTACGCACACCCCACTTTGCAGTTATTTATTTGTAAAAGCTGTTTGGAATCATGTCTGATTCTCGTTCCACTTCTCACATGTGCACCACTTTGTGTTGGTCTTTCACCTGGAATTCCAATAAAATTGATTCATGTTTGTGGCTGTAATGTGACAAAATGGGGAAAAGTTTTGCAAGCCACTGTAAGTTACTGCTTGAGTCATTATTGATTGCAAAGTTCATGAATTCATGGAAAAATTAACTTGGTGTGTTGCTGCTCTGCCTGCATGCATGTAACAGCATGTCCTTGTGCATAATGTGAATTAAAAGGCTGCATCTCGTCACATAAATAAATTCAGTGTACGTAATACTGCTTTTCAAAATAAAAGCAATTTATGGAAGAATGAAAAATATTTATTATCGCTTTGAAAAAATAATAAATGCCTATTTTGTCCTTTTGTAACCGCACAATCACACAAAGCGTCCTTACATATAATTCAGTACCAGTGCAGACACTGGTCTATCTAACGGCAGCCCCAAAAGTCAATCCTGATGGACTCACATGTTGAAGAGCCCCACTAACCACCATCAAAAATCATGTGCAACACCTTGGATTTTGCTAGCTTGCTGAATACATGAGTTGCATCTGCAGGTTACTAACCAACCCGCAACCCTTAGCTGACAGCTTATAATGCCACGCTTTCATGCAAGACCTCTGTCTCAATATGGCCGCGACAACAGTGTACTTTAACTGGCTGAATTTCAAGTGTGTCCCTAGTGAACATAACTGGCCCTGAAGCATAAGCAAACTGATAAGCAGGTTGGAGCCACACAAGAGCACAGGAAAGATCTATAAATGTGTATTTATTGTGTATGTGTTATATTTATAGTAGAACGTAAAATATGGGGGCCTTTCTGTGTGGCGTGCATGTTCTCTCCATGTTTGAGTGGGTTTCTCTCAATCCACAGACATGCACTCAGTGGGGTTAGTTGAATTGTTGATTCTAAATAACCCATAGGTGCGAATGGTTGTCCATCTTTTTGCATCTGGCAGTCAGTCCAGAGTGTACCCTGCTTCTCGACCTGTGGCAGCTGGGATAGGCTCCAGCCCCCCTGAGACCCTGATAAGGATAAGCAGAAGAGAATAGAAGGATTTTAAGAGACTGACAATTTAATGCTACTAGTTTAATCATTTTCATTGTCAGAGCTGGGGTCACATGCATGCACAAAGACACACAAGATGTGTGTCTTTGTGGCTGAAAACAAAAAAAGGAAAAAAAGCAGCAGAATAAATTTCAGTGAACCGTTTTGAAACTGCACCATCTGCTGGGTCATTTTATTTCAGTCCAGCACAGTAAGTCACAATAATGTTTGTGCCAGATGTATTATGAGCAAGAACGGACACTATATAGTCAACATTGTTCATCGGCGTTTGCATTTCAAAGGTGTTTTCACCCACCTGCCTCCCAATTGCATGTCGCTGTACATGGATGATCTGCAAGTCAGATGCTCATTGGTTGACAAGTTGGCCAGAATAGGGAAAGAAGTATAAGTGGAGTTTATGGGGGATGGAGAAACCTGAAAGTACAGTGGCTGTAGTGGGCATTGTTGTTAACACTCAGTTTCATTTCATAACTTTGCATGTTAGACCAACAATAGCACAAGGAACACTTCCTCCATCTGACAACAAGCACTGTCTTCAAGTAGATTTGGCCTTCACACTGCACCTGCTGAAGCATAAAAGAAGCGTTAAATGTGGCCTGAGGCCTGGCATGGTCTCGCAAACAGCTTTTAAGGGCAAATGACATCAACAAAAACAAATAAAAACCTCTAAATTATTTCCTTTACTTACCTTATTTACTTCATGACAAAACACCTTAGAGTTTCACAATGTTGGAGTGAGATTTTGTATTAGATGAATAAATGTGTAATTTAATAAAAACAGCAAAGCGAGTGTCTCTCGTGTAAAGCTAATAATTCAAAGCCAGCGAAATAAACTAATCTTACCGTTTTACTAGCATAAAAAGGAAAGAATGAATAAATTCACCAATAAATGTAATATGCAGCGGCGTTTTTATTGTCACGTGCGACGTCCAACTGTTGAACGTGGGTGCATGTTCGCACAGGATCCACTGGGTGGCGCCAAATAGCCAGCAGTTATTGTGCAGGGACTCAAAGGCTGCTGGGAAATTTTCTCCGAGGAAGTAAGATGAGATGCTAAAGTAGCTGGCTCCACAGAGGTAAGAGTTTGATAATGCGAGGCATCTATCGGGTCACAACGCTTACACTGACACATTAATGATGTGAAAAGTCGGAGTGTGTCGTTGGCGTGTGGCTGGGTGAAAAGTGACGTACGTAGCGTCCATTTTTGTTTGCCAGGTGTCAGCACGCGCCTCGCTAACCCGCAATGTGTTTATGAGAGTTTCTCAAACACCTGCGGTGTTTACTTTACTCTCTGTTGGCTGGTTTGCCTTCGTAAACCACTTTGTTCATAAATTGCAGGTTTACCGATGACGAAACATTAACAAAGAGGAACGTCTCAGAAGTTGCAGCTGTCTGCAGTCATGGTGAGTAAACTGAGGTAGAAATGCTTTTATTTTGTAGGATCACGCCACTTATTCTACCCTCAACTGACAGACGAGGCTTTTTCAGGAGCACTCTTTAGCTCATGTTCTTGCATGCTAATCACTGCGATCACTCAGAGAGGACATTTTCAAATGATCAAGCTGAGAAGACCTTTGCTCATCTTTCTCATCAGCAGGAGGACATAAGCACTGTGATGTCCTGGTTTTCCAGCCCGGTGTACAGCCGATACTGGCAGCACTATCGGCAGGCCATGGCGTGGCATCAGAGGCACAGGCGCGCCTACAGAAAGGCCTTGGAGGCTGCCTACGGCCCCTGCTGCTACCAGGAGGAGGGGCCCGGTGACCGGCCTCGCTATGCTGACTGGAGCAACAGCGAAGACGAGGCGGACGATGCAGAGGAAAGTAGCTCGGAAAGCGAGATTGAGTGCGATGTGAGCAACATGGAGATCAGCGAGGAGCTCCGGCAGTACTTCGCCCAGACTGAGCGACACAGGGAGGAGCTCAGTAAGTAAACAAAGGGGAGCAGGTGCTTTAAAAGGTCAATTTTTTAAAAGCGCAGCCTCTCCAGATGTTTAGTCTAAGGTGAGGAGCCTGTCTGGTATGTGTCCAAAAATGGTCCGTGTTGTCGTTCTTGCAGAGAAGCAGCAGCAGATGGAGGCGGAGCAGCAGGGCAGCTACGTGCCGGCCGATCAGGACCTACACAGCTTCTCGTTGCGGAGCAGTGTCGCCCCTCCCTTGGAGCGACCCGGCGAAAGACGCACGGCCGAGATGAAGAAGCTGTACGGTGGGGATGCGGCCAAGATCATGGCCATGGAGGCGGCGATGCAACTCAATTTCGAAAGAAAC